CCCGCAGAAACCCCACTGAAGCCAGAGGGTGAACTGCAATGGTTTGGCTGCGGCTGCAAGACTGGCCCTCCCAGCACACAGGCGACAGAAACTCCCCTTCTCCTTAGCGGCGTGTTCACTCTTAGCCCTACTGACAACCAGCCCAATAACCCTGAGGCGCAGCTGATCTGGCAGCTTCTTTGGCACTATTTAATGGGAGACACAGACAACCCCTGCTCCTTCCTGAGCGTGTAGCAATGCTGCTGCTGCTTTTTGTGCTCTTGTGGGTTGAGGTGTGTGTCTGTATGGCAGAGTCCAAGGGGAACAACAGAGGTCAAAGACAGAGAGGCTGTAACAGCCTGAGCTGGGATGTGCTACCCTGAGGTCTCACCTTTCAGAATAAAATACAAAAATCCAGACTTCTTTAACCAGATCCCAATACCTGTTACCTCCCCAGTTCAGAGTGGGCATCCCAGCGCTCACCAAGGTCACCTGCCCGAGCACAGGGCTGCGGCAAGGGCCCTGGGATGGCAGGCTGCAAGGGCAACTGAGAAATACCCAAATCCGACGGTGTCACAGCCCCGGGATGTCCCTTCCCTGCCAGGAGCCACCCCACTCCACCTTGTACCATGGCTGGACCCCCCCTCCTGTACTGGTTGCTGCTGAGGGTCCTGCACACAAACCTACGCCGGTGGCATCCCTGGGGAGGAAAATTCCTCCTCTGTGGAGTCCCTGCAGGTTGGTGATGCTGCCTGGTGGCTCAGGAATCAGTTGCCCAGAGAAAAGCAGGGATGGCAGAAGTGGCTGCTGCCAGACGTGGCTGCGCTGGGCGACCCCCGTGGCATTTCTGCCGGGGCCGGTGCGAACTCCCTGGGAGGCGTGGGGTGTCCGACCCCGCAGCGAATGAGCCCCGCTCCTCCAAGCCCCCGCTGCCAAAACCACATCCCCTGCTGCGCAGCTCGTAAGGAGAAAAGGGGCTGCAAATCAAGCCAACGCTTTTTTGGGGTGAAAACCATAGAAGGAGCATTTGGGAGGGGGGACGGACCCCGACTCCCCTGGGCAGCTGCGGGCTGCCTGCCCACCCTGGCGCTGGCTCCGCAGCCTGTTTGCCCTTCTCACGGCCCCAGAGCTCCGCAGCCTGTTTGCCTTTCACACGGCCGCAGAGAGCTGCCTGGTGCTGCGAGAGCCGTGAGAAAAGCCGGCGGGAGGACAGGGGGCCTCTGGGCAGGAAACCGGGAGCATGGGAGCAGCTGGGAGATGCTGCGAGGGCCCGGGCAGGGGGGCTCCCGTGCTGGGGAGGGGCAGCAGCTGGGGCCAGGGGGGGCTGGGCGCCCGCAGCCCCCTGGTTCTGCACATTCCTGGAGGAAACGGCATTTTTGGGGGCAGTTGAAAGCCTGGGAGAAATTCCAGGGCTGCCTTTGGAGCACAGCCGCGGCCAAGCCCCTGGGACCTGGTGCTACTGCAGTGGCCCCGGGGAGTGGGGGTTCAGTGAGGTGGCTGCTGCTGCTCTGGGGCTCGGGAAGGCAGCGCAGTGACCTGCAAGGGTGCCAAGCTCCAGGCCAGCTGCTGGGGACGGGACGGGGTGATGGTGTGGGTCCAGCCCCAGTTTGGAGCACAGGGGCTGCTTGTCTTGGGACACCACGTTTGGCACCTCGTGCCTCAGTTTCCCCCTCTGCAGAGCTGCCTCCTTCGAGGCTTTGGCTGGCAGTGCTGCCAGAGGGGTCTGCTGGCGGGAAGCGGCGTTTCCCATCCCTTGCGTACGACTGTACGTGGGGGGAAGTCGAGTCACGTCCGCTCCGTGACCTGCCTGCGGGTCATGTCCCGTTAGTCACCGTGTCGCTGCCAGAGTCACGGTCACGGCCACCACCTTGTTCCGAGCAGCTCCACGGGCTGGGTGCTGCTCCCTGCCCCACGGCAGCGCAATTCCCCACCTCGGGGGCCTGATCCTTCAGGGACCGTCCCTGGGAACGCCCTCCCGTGCGTTGGCATCCTCAGCCCACCCGGCCTTGGGGTCTGTCCTCACCAGCGATGCTGCTGGCGGGGGGCAAGTGGAAACGTGCCACAGGGCCATGCTGGTTCCCTGCACGGGCATGCCCTGTGCCAGGCAGCCGTCCCCATCCCCTGCCGTGGCCTGTTGGGAACAGGCTGTCCCCATCCCCAGGGAAGTGCCTGCGCAGGAGGAAGGGCTGGGCCGCGGCACTATCCCGGTCCTGCTTCCGCCTGCCCGGCCATGGGGACGGCTCCGGCAGACGGCTGCTCCCCGAGCCAGGGGCCATGGCAGGGGCTGCGAGCAGGGCATGGAGGGGCAGAAATGGCCCTGATGCCAAGTCCTGCTCTGGTCACTCTCGTGCCTCAGTTTCCCTGGCAAACATCGTGACTATGCCCATCATCATGGCAGCCCCAGATGATGCAAAAGAGCATCTGGCCCCTTATTTTTGGGTACCTAAGTCCCCACTCCCCATTCCCAAGACACCCGGGTGACCCACACACGTCTCCCAGCCGCTTGGCTCCCAGCCAACCCGGCCCGGGAGCT